TCCTCGTCTTTATTTGGCTTCTAATTGTTCCTTCTTCTTCTCAGCCCGCTGGTCTACTTGCCTGCTCCGTTTTCGGGTGCGCACGCGTGCGCGCGATCACAGCGACGAACTTTCGAAGAGGTCTCGTAAGGATTCACTTCGGCGAACCGTCGATAGGTCCGATGAGATTTGGCGCGTGGCATTTTGATGGATTCGGCACGAAACGTGTGTGTATGGTTCCCGCGGGAAGATCCATTCTGTCGAAGTAATCTATAGAATAACTGTTCTTTCTCATTTATTGTAGCTTATACTATGAAACATAGAATTTATAGAAAATGCAATATAACAGATTTTATAAATTTTCCGCTACATTCAGATTCTTTTCACAATTTTCTTATTTATCAAATCCTAAATAATTTTCAAGAATTTTATTCCTTAGACATTTATTGCCTAATACATTTAAGGACATTAATATAATTTGGAGTATATATTTCATGATAATAATTTTCTTCACTCATTAATATTCTTTTTCGAACGATAATACGATTTTCATATCAATTAATGTGCATTTGATTTTTTTTGACAAATTTTTCTATAATAAATCGTCTGTAAATTCTTTTTCAATAGCGTATATATATCCACGGCAGCTCCTGAAGAAGCCGTCAGGCATTAACTCGTCGCGGAACGCGAAGGTAAATACACGCCGTACGTCATGTATAGACGTGATACGTGAGCGGTTCGCTCCGCGAAGGGAGAGATAATCGACTCCCACCGCACCGCTTGCTCGGCCAACCTGCGTGCGGGGTGCAAACCACAAATCAGCGTGAAAGAGGCACAAAGTACCACATCGCTCTTACGCAGGCGCTTGCTCGCTGTCCGTGATCAATTATACCGCTGTATAGATCCATCCAGGTCGATCCACCTTGTAGAAAAAAGAAGCTTCTCTCGCTCGAGGCGCAACACGTTTTTGCGATCACAGGTGAAACAGGTGCTTGTCCGGCGAATCTACTCAAATTCTACGCGACTGACGACAAGTGTGTCTTTCGCCGACGGTTGTCGTCAGTTTACGTCGAAACGTAAGAATTCCTCAACGACGCTCGCTTTCGGGCAATGAGCGGAAAGCATTGGTCATCGGCTTCGCTGAGTCGAGACTGCTGGGTCCATGACGGTCTTCCGCCGTATGATTGGCTCAGTTTAGGTTGGGCCTGGGTCGGTAGGTATACCTGTTCTGCCCCGAACGTGCCTAGGACCGTGTGCGGGGGAGCCGCGGGGGACGTAAGAGGGCGAGAGAGGGCTTCGGATGTCACACGGAACAGATTAATGGTCCCAGAGAATTCCTGGTAGTCCATCCAAACCAGACCGGGTTCTTTCTTCCACCAACCAGCTCGCAGCCGAGAGGGAGAAAGAGAAGGAGAAGGCCGCCAGAGGGGCCGTACGTGATGTGTGGATCAGAAACACCACCCACGTTCAGAAAATTTCATTCGAATTTCGCGAGCGTCGCCCCGCTCGTTCGCTCGCTCGCGGCTCCCAAAACGGTAGGGCGGGGCAGAAAAGGCCGCTGGGGTCGAAATTGCCCTGCGGAGAGCTAAAAGTCTGCCGATGTCGAGGATCTTTTTACCTATCGGACAAAACGACGGTAGCCAGCAGCTAATTGACGTCGGAGATCGCGAAGAGATTTGTAGAAGAACGAAGGGAAATCAGCGGGGGGAACGTGCAGAGTTCAATGAACTCGGGTTCGAGAGAAGTAGAATGTTATTATGGTAACGGGTTCTAGGCAGCGGCGCAATTCTGATTCTGAAAGAGGAAAAAAGCGCCTCGTGATCGCGTTTTATGCCCGAACGCCAAGTCATTCTATTTTCAACGCTGATACGTTTGGTTGTGAAGACGAGTTAAATATACATTAAATATATCGGTGACACTTCTCTCTCTCTCTCTCTCTCTCTCTCTCTCTCTCTCTCTCTCTTCTTCTCTCTCTTTGTTTCGCCAGTAAATGGGTGAATGAATTTTTCAGGTGTGAGTCGAAAAGGTGAAGGTCAAAGAATTTATGCCTTATTTTCCGTTAAACGGCAAGAAGTATCCGAAAGAAGTATTCGAGTGGAATCCCCCAACGTTTTGTAAGATCGTCTTTCCCGCTTCTCCGCACACGGACAATGATATCTCTTGTCTCAAACTCTCTACCTACGTAGCAACCCGGGTAAGTTTTACCTGAGTTTCCTACTCCTCGCTCGGACCGTAGTGGTCGGACTTTTGTTGTTGTTGGCATTTCGAGACTGTTTCCTTCAATTTCCAAGATCTGCAGTATTTGCTGCGTCATTGAGGATCATTCATATATATATCTCTGATATATTTATTTTTTAAATCGTAATATAATTGAACATTCTTAAACATGTATTCAGGATATTTTCACACTAGTTTTAATTATATTATTCTACATTAAGGGAATTGTTTATCGGAACGGTTATTCTATATTACTTTTCGCCAACTACGTCGATTGTTTATTAACGACACATACTAATCGCGTTGCGCGTTAGATGGCGAAATAAACGCGGTGCAATGTAATCGAATAAATCCGGTGATATTTGAATTTCCAACCACGGATTTTTACAATCTTCCGCCTTTCCCATCTTTCTTCATCTACCTTAATCTGCTATCCACTGGACGACAATTCGCAGATTATTCTCTTAAGCGAACTCGTAACCGCAAGAACGGCAATAGCACGGGTCGATTACTTTTTAATCCGAAATTACTTCGTCGATAATCCAGTTAGTAAGCTGCCACGGTTCTTTTGGCATTTAGGCACTCAGAAATAACGGTGTAAAGGATGAATATTGAGGGTTGGGCTTATGTCGATATTGCCCGAATCGCTAGACTTTGAATCCGCTGATATCTTGGAAACATTAATTAATTTTATTAATTTCATATCTCTATGCGCGTGACCTACCGCAAAATAAATCGTGCGAACTTTGCGGTCGATCGGGACACGCAATATCGCGTATCTTCTGACTTTGTTTACTACTCGTCCGCAGTTGAAATGCAACGATGATTTTTTGCCACGACTTTAATTTTTTTACTATATTTTAAAACGATTGAATTATATATGCACTTCGTCATTAATTTCGTCTAGAATAAATTTATAATAAAAATGTGCAACTAGCAGAAAAATAATTTTCACTATTTAAACTATAGATCGAAAAAATTAATATTCCAACTTTGATAGAATTTTGTCGCGATCTTAAATTGCGAGAAATATTTGGACATTATTAGCTCGTGCCATAAGCATTGAATCATTGTATTGTTCATTTTATACTATCGCTATACGCTCATACGAACTGATATCGCGTGCAAGTTTGGTATTCGATGAACTCCGAAACTTTCCCCGCGGCAACTGCGAAAAAGAAATCGAGATGGTGTGCGGAAATCGACTCGTGTTCTCGAGAGAATGGCCTTCCGGTTTGCGGATGACACGGCTTGTCAGTAAGGACAAGAATTTTCGTTGTATCAGGAAAATATCCGGCGCTCATCGCTTCAAAATGTGATTTTCCTGTCACAAATCAGCAGATTTCCGATGGTTAAATTTATACCTACCACGTGTATCATATAATAAATTTTAGTTCAGGGTCTAACCACTTTCCAAAAATTATTTTTTATGTACTTTTTCTGATTCTAAGCTCAAGGAAAGAGTAAATAGGCTATTGTTATTAAATCCGATCAAATAGTCATCTTAATGTCTGCATTAAATTGGATAATATGATATCCAATACATGCGGATATTTAAAAAAGTTAATTATAAATATACTGTTTTAGATTTTTATCATTTTTTTTTTATACTTTCATGGAAAAAATAATGTCGAAGTGTGACGAATCGCTGGGCAAATATAGTTGTGCGTGTTTACATTTGTGGATCGATTGGTCAATTCGGCATGTCGGTGCATGTCAAGACGACGAAGGGTCATTCTTCTTCTTCGTACCGTACAAATACGTTCAACTTGACCCCGATTACGATGAATCGGATTTCCGGACTACGGTGATCCTAGCGGACACCCTCAAATCAATCCTTGCGAGGAGGTAGAAAGCGTGAGGGAGGAGGGGTCTCTCTCGAGCGATTCGAATCGCACGGAAAGTGAAACTTCGTATCCTCGCCGACTTTGACCGTAGATACTGGCTTCCTCCTTCACGAGCAATAATTTACCAAACGGAATCGGACACCGGCATTTCCGGATCTCGTTACGCGCACACATCCTATGTGTACGTTCGAATTTCTTCAATATCGTCGCATTAAATACAACTCACGACTTGATTGGGAAACGCGTTATATATATTTCTCATAACACGTGCAATCTACTTACTCATAATAAATTGAAAGAAAAAAAATACATACATTATCTATGAATATACATCAAGAAGGAATCAGATTACACAGTCTCAAAATATGTGCATATGCATATAAAATTGATAGGTTTTAGACACACACGATATACTGGATTAAATAATAATCCCGCTTCGAGCAAAGAAATTATACAACTTTCTACAATTATATAATTTCAATTAAATTCGTCAGCTGCTTTTGCATTAATTTTTGTACGTAAACTCGTATCCTCACGGAACGAAATTTCGAAATACTTTCTACTCCGAAATTTCGTGTGTGCATAGAAATTCGTAGGCGGAAGAATAATGTCGCGTTGCCGCCACAATTCTCGGAATCTTCGCGGTGTCTCGAAAGGGTCGTCGGGAATGACATGTGAGGATAAGACCGCGCGTCCGTTGCGTGGACGCTGAGCGTCGGGCGCTCACGTGGCACCCTTCCACCTCTTTCATTCTCGCGAGCATCGTGCATGAGGTTCCCCTTCAGCCAGCAGCAGCCCCCCTTGCCGTACCGGCGCTCCCTCCAACAGTCCCACGATCTTCTTCTCCCACTCTCTCGTCTACCGCGCGTCGCTTTCCCCCTTCACCTCGCCCCGCTACTCTCCAGTAACGTTCTCGAGAGTAGCCGAAGAGTGCCGACCGAAGCGCCGTTGCGTTCGTCGTTCCTCAGTAACGCGAGCGCCTTCACAGAGTGTGGTGCTTCGTTTCGTGCCGCTCGTATCGTTCGTTGTTCTGTGACACGTAGCGCGCGGCGGTAACGCGTTTATCGTTTCTCTTTCTTTGTCCGTCGATCGTGTGGATACATAACAGTGCTACGCTCTCAGTGTTTGTACCGAGCGCGCTTCCATCGCGCGTACGTAAACAACGCAACGAGACGAGTGTTGAGTGATCGAGAGTAGGCGTCTTATTGCCGCGCGTCGCACATACAGTTACGTGATAAACAGAGATCGAACGAATCAGTGGGAAAAACGGTGTTTATTCGGAAGTATCGCGGAGTGGAATCACCGGCGTCGGCAAAGTTTTTCATATTGCCGAAGCGCGCGCCGCGCGACGAGAATGCCGAGGCGCGTAACGCAGTCGGTCGGGGAGCAGCGGCGTGCTCGCGCCGGCTTGGTTTTCGGGTCGCCGAGCGGCGACTGAGGGGGGCCCACGGAGAGGGAGAGAAGGGATGCGAAGGATCCCGCGGGAGCAGCAGCAGCAGCAGCAGCCGGCGCGGAGTGTGAAGGTAACAACGGGCTGCGTGGGTGGAATAGAGGAATAGGGAGAAAATTGGCGAATCCAGGTGCGAGGATGGCCGGCTGGCGAACAGCGCTGATCTGCGACGTAGGTGCTGCTGCGCGTCGCGACGCCGACCACCACGACGTGACGGCCACGTGCCGCAGCGGACGCGTCGTCGACGGCCAGTGGTATTAACTCTCTCTCCCCCTCTTTTTGTGTTGGGTGATTGCGTGCCGCGAGTATGTCGTAACCGCGCGTTCGGGGAACACGCGATCCGGAGTGTACTCGTCGTTATATTCAGGTTTTGACGTATAAACAGCGCGCGCGCACTCACGCCTATAGATTAGGAGCGGCTTGAAGTGAGGAGCGAGAGGTGTGACCGGCGAATTGCAGCCGACCGATGTAAGTGTGCAATCGCAATATTGCGCGGGAGTGAGAAGCGCGCTAGGGAAGAGAGATTCGTCTCGGAAAAGTTTCGCGGGAAGGAGGCTGGTCGCGGAAGGACGCGAACAGGTGGCCGTTTCTTCATACGTGGGATAATATATAAGAGACTTTTCGTGTGACTGGCTGGTCTCTCCGTTATCGCTCGCGAATTCAGGACGAGACGAATTCTTCGACAGTGAAGGTGATCGTGTAACGTGCAACACGATAAGAAAGTTCGAAACGTCCGCCACGACATCGTCCGTCCGGTGTGCATACTGAGATAACACGTGCTTGCTCCTCGTTCATCTTTGCCCCCAGGGGCATACTCATGCTTCCTACAATGTGCAGTGATACATAACATCCCCTTCGCAGTGATCGTGACAGAAAGATCGAGTTGATGTAACTTAAAGTCGTCGATACTTGAATAGTTTTAAAAGTGTATTCAGTTTTGCAGCGCTTCGAAGACTAAACATTCGAAAGTGACACATGTGAAAGACGCAAGAAACGCGGTGCAGTGGCTGGCACGTGGTGCGGTTAAGACGTGATCAGATCAAACTCTGTCGCTCGAGATCGAAGAAGAACGGGAGCGAGAGCCCGTTCGGAGGAGAAGAGGAGTGCGAAAGAAAGCAAAACACGGAGGCATTGTGCGACTACCGAAAGCAGGGCAGAAGGAAGAAAGAAGGGTGAAAGAGAAAGCGGGATATCATCGAGAAGATAGGGAAAGAGACAGAGAGGGAAGAGAAGAAGGAACGCGCTTCGCACTCTAGTCTAAACCCCGGCGGGAGTTCGAGGAGAGGGTGAAGGGCGTCGTGGAGGGGGGAGTAATGCCGGCGGTGAGCGTGGCACAGCGCCCTCCAGGTGGAATCTCACTCCACGCCGGCGTGCCGGTAGCGCCCAGCAGCGTAACCGCCCCCGGTCCGTCGGGCCGGTGCCTCGGGGGCCCGGCAGCACCCCCCGCCGGCTCGCCACCGCTGCCGCCGTCCTTGCAATCCCTCGGCGGCGGCGTCGCCACTAATAGCAACAGCAACATCAACCCCAACAGCATCAACCACAGCAACAATAATACCGTACTCGGTGGCGGCAATCTCAACAACAATCACCATCTCGGCAACAACGCTCTAGGTATCAATACGGCGAGCGGCGCCACGAATCCTTTACAGGCGATGGCGTCGGCGGCGGCGTCGCTTACTCAACTCAACAACATGGCAAACGGCCCGCTGCCGCCGCTCGCGGGTACAGGCCCGACCGGGCCCCCGAGTCTACCGCCGCCGCAGCCGGCGACAACGCCGACGCACGGCGGACCGCCAACCCGCACGGCGTAAGCGCGGCGCCTCATCTGAACGGCGCGTCGCCGAGCCCTCATCCGTTGCCACCTCATGGCATGATGAGCGGGTCACCGCACACGCCTCATCCGCACATGGGAGGTGGCGGACCCTCGCCCCATCCCCATCATCCGGGACCCCACATGGTCGGTTCGCCGCATCACCCAGCAGCGCCCCATCCGATGGGCCCGGCCGGTATGATGGGACCGGCCGGTATGCAGCCCCAAGGTGCACCTGGCATGTGCGGACCGGGACCCAGCGGTCCGATGGGTCCGCACGCGCATCCTCAGGGACCGGGAGTACCTGGACAGCCACACATGCACACGAATGATCCATTTTTCTGTTCGCCTTTCGGATCTCATTACTTCAGGTAAATTCGAAAGACAACTGATGATACCGCGCATACTTTCCGAGGTGGTGGCAACAATTTTTCACGAATAATTTTGTTGATTGATGTCGCAAAGTTCTGAGGGGCGATGAAAGCTATTGTAATAGAAGATTATTTTATTAGACTTGACGTCAGTCACGAGAGAAATGCTTCATAATTTCTGTATCACTTAATATTTAATATTTTTCTTTTTATATTTATGCATTTGATAAACTTTATATATTTGACAATTGTTAAATCATATTACAATATTTTTATGCCCTCTCTTAAAAACTCTTAAATTAATTAAAAACTTATTGAGAGCTGATATTTGAACGCACAGCCCGTAACGATTAATTGATTTCAAGATTTCTCTGTTAATTACACGAGAGATTGATATTTCGCATTGTCAATGTCAATGCAGAATGAATTTTATTATTTTATTTCTAATTCTCTGAAAATACGCGATCCACTTCGTAGCTGATTCACATCGTTTGAAGCAAATAAGATTTTATGACAACTGTCTGACTTGGCGAATGTTTCTAAAAAAGTTAATTTTATGCAATCTGCGTTGCGACTTTTTCTCACAGTTTTTTACTGGTAGATAGACTTAGTCGATGTAACTTTGTAAGATTTTTTTTTACTTAATTATCGCACTACGAGTTCAAAGTTGATTACGGGATTATGCTGCAAAAAACATAACTCAAGGACTCGGGCGCGTAAAATCGATGCTGGGTTCTAGTTGCTAAGAAATTTGCCGTTAGCATCAAGTCGCGTTCGGTAGGAGCAATTTTCATAAGATCGATACGGTTAATAGTGCTTCCCTGCTGTGGCAACTGTAATAAGCGCGCTATAATGTTGAAATTACGACAGGAGGAATAATTTGCATACTCGATCATACGTGAAAATAAATACGTACGTTGTTGATATCGCGCTCGCCATCGAGAAAGCCACGTGTTTTCCGCTTATTTCTCTCCGAAATCTTCGTCGTATTTTAAAGCAATTCCGCAGATTACTGCGGAAGACATTCGAATTCTACAGACTTATCAGAAATGACATAATTTCTTTTGATTACAGATTTCGTACCGAATACTATCTATATCTATCTATTTACATTTATTTTTTATACATTTGATTATTACTTTGTTAGATTATTCTTGAGCATATCATTGAATATTTTTACATAAATTTTTTATCTTTGATAATTTACATCTAATGTAATGTTTTAAATCGAATAGTTCTAACCTAAGATATTTTTAAAAGTATCTGATGCTTAATATCGTTAATTTAAAAAAAAATCTATTTCTTTGTTGTATAGGAAGTGCAAAATTTCCAAACTGCCAATTATAAAGATACAAATAAATAATCTGTTGTAACAATTTGCCGTCACGCGAAAGAACGCTCGCACGTGTGTCTCTCGGATCGAGGCGGAACTTTGTATGAAGGCATATGTAAACTTTTTCTCGGGTCTGCGCGAGAAAGGATTGGAGTTGGAGGGAAAGAAGGTGGTTGGCGGGCAGTCACGCGAGGTTTTACGGAAAACTGTATCGCGTGGTCGAAGATATCTCCCGCGAAGCTCAGCTCTTGTCGTCACTTATGCACTGTCTTATTTTTGCTTGTTGTCATTGATAATGACATGACATACTTAGCTGTTTGTACGGAGAATAGTTTTTCTAATCAATGATTAATTCTTTATGTGTCAAAGATTTGTTTTTACATTCTTATTTTAGAACGCAAACATTGATGTATATTTGATATGCAGTAATACTGTTGATAGATGGCAATATTAAAGAATTCGCATATTAATCGATTATTTCTAGATTTTTTTTTGCAATTGTTTGCATTCTGCAATTTTATATAACAGATTGTAATGGGAATATATTAGCATATGATTTATGTGATAAAAAATGAAAAGATACAGAGTCAATTGTAATTGAAAGCGGGGTCAGCGCGACAATATTTCGTAACATTTAATAATAAAATTATTGAAATTGAAATGCTTAAATAACTATTAACGAGTAACTATATAATTAATGATTTCATAATGTCTGTTAAATTCATCATTAGAAGGTATTTGATTTTTGTCCCGAATGAGAGGAAAAGAAATGAATTAAAGTAGGGAATATAAAAATTGTCGTCAATGTTAAAATTATTCACGGCCGGTCTTCGATTAATTCGAAAGTATTCTTTATCGGACCAACGTGTGTTGTTTTGCGGATATTTTTAGACAATTTTTTTACGACTTATTTAATACTTCGTTCCGTGTCAATCGTCCGGTAGTCGCTCACTAGTATGTTCTCTCAGGCGTAGTAACAGTATACTCCGAGAATCCGTTATCGTACCTTGACGAGGATCTTCCTGGTCACTTGCACAGTCAACTCCAGCAGTGTAGTTGAGAATAGTATAATATAGGTAGCGCCAAAAATCTGCAAAGTTCTCTGATGCGATTGCCAATTGCCAATTTCGAAGCAGGTTCGCCAAGATTAGATCGGCAATAACTATTAAAAAGAACAATTAAAACTGACCGATTGGTCTATCGAAAGTTCACTCGTTAACACAATATGTCTGTACTTTTTGCGTCCATCAAACATATAAAAGCTCTATTTGTTTCTCGCGAAAATAATGGAAAATAATACAGAGAACATCGTTTTCACGGGCGAAATTTCGTCGTCGTGCATCGCGCCACGATTCAAGAGGGATAATTATCAGTTATGCGAGATACGCTGTGCCTGTCAGGTGCGTCGAAAGTCGTCGTCTTCGTCGGGATATCTCTCGGTGCCTCAGGTGTCCCGCAGGTGGGAGGTGCGCTCCCGGCGCAGGTGTGCATACATGTTCGTCCGCGACTTCCTTCTTCATCGGAGCTCGCCTCGCGAAGAAAAATAGTCAGGGGTTAAGAACGTCGATATGCGCACGATGACGATTATCCTGTACTTCTCTTCTTCGGCCTTCTTCGTATCCGGTCTGAACGTCTCTATCGCTTCGACATCATCTCTCCGCTCGCCGTCCCCGTCTGATAATCGTATGGGCTCATTAACATAAGCGTTCCACCCTGCT